CGAATCCAGAAAATGTGTCAGCAGTTAAAGACTGGAGACGCTCCAAAAATTCCCATCAGTTGAGAAGTTTCCTAGTGCTTTGCACTAGATATTTGAAGGACGTTTCTTCCATTGTAAGATCTCTTCATAAGCTGACAGAGGTACTAATAAAGAATGTGAAGATGCATTTTGCAAATTGAAGAAGGCTTTCGTATCTACCACAATCCTGACATATCCTCAGCTCGGTAAACTATTTATTCTCGACACGGATGCGAGCAATGAAAGTGTCGATGCTGTTTTGTCCCGAGAGAAAAATGGTCAAGAACGTGTCATAGCAAACTGGAATAAGTAGCTATCGGAACTGGAGAGGAATTACTGTGTCACCAGAAAAGATTTCCTTGTCATAGTTAAACCGTAGAATCATAGTTAAACCGACTCTTATCATTATCTCCATGGCAGAAAATTTCTGCTGCGGACAGATCTTGCATCGCTGACCTGGCTTTTAAATTTCAAGAAATCCGAAGGCGAAATAGCCATATGGATACAGGCTCCAAGAACATGACATCACTATCCGTCATCGGAAGTGATGGAACACAAACCCCTTGTACACCACATGGAAACGCCGACGCCATATCTGGAAGGCCTTACCCTGGAAGCTGCTGATATTTTTCAAAGCCGAAACGAAATATGAGCTGGTTAATTCCGTCGTTTCGAATTCGGCCGTGAAGTGTGCACTCAGTCTATTATAAACCCCTACGCATACAATAATATTAATATTTCTACACAGTTTCAATTTTAAATCACTTCATCCTAGATTCACGTTGCCTTTGTTGCGTTTTTGCTGTCAATTCTTAGTAAAACTGTTAGATGACCTGGTGTTCGTTTGCTGTTTACAACAGTTTAAGACCTTTAAAGCAGAATTTAAGAATCTCTATCAGTTTTTCGCAAATATTTCGAAAAACCTGTCGAAAACGAAGAAATCGGCCAAACTCGATGGAGATTTTCTGAAAGACTGTTTCCAGATAAAAAAAAAAGACATAACTGCTAACAAAACCATATTCAACTCTTCAAATAATTGATCGACGGATATTAATCCATAATTTACATAGATATCTTTACAGATGTGGTATAAGACCCTCTTGGTGACTTTTTATATTACGGACTACCTCGACACTCTAATAGTTCTCCTCGACTTCCTTACGCTAAAATGGATCTTTCACAAAGCCATCGATGCGAATTTATAATTCCCGTTTCAGAATTCCTATGGCAAATCTAATCATCTGAACGGAACATATATTCTTTCATTCTTTCTTTTGTTTGATCATCCGTTTCTAGTTTTCTTCTTGCTGTTTTTGTCTCTGTCATACTTTTTTGCTTCAGAATTTTCTACGAGTTTTCTCTGGGTTTTGGAATTTTCTCCGAAAACGGGTGCTTGAAAGCCATTTACATACGGCGCGGATTTTTAAATTGCCCTTTCTCATTTTACTGTTACTTAGCGTGGTCTTCAGCTTGGATTGCCATAAATCAGTTAAATCATATTGGCTTCATACGCTAATTTTTAATACATTTAAGTGATTGGTAATAATTTTCTCTCTCTTTTCTTTACTTACTTTTTTTGTCAAGTATGTCCGACGTTTCTGCAATTGTCAAAAGAGAGTTTTGGGAAGGGGCTAGTTAATGCATCATAGATTAGATTAGTTAAGCTAGGTATCATTTCATACCCATTGAGATGCTACTGAGGAAAAGAAATAGTTTCCTCAAATTTCAAATTTCTACAATAAGGTGAAGTCACTAGCCGACCTAATAGCTAACGTGATTCCGTTTAAACGGGAGAATTGCAATTAACATCGATGGTTGCGTTAAAAGGCCATTTTAGAGCCAAAACGCGAGAGCGCTACATGTGCACCTTTTCATCCATTGATTCAGTAATGGATGCAGAGCAAGCCGTGCATTATCCGACAGAATTTTGAAATGCTCTTGGGCCCTCAGATTCCACCACACAAGCTTACTTTTAAAACCAGAATCCGTATCACATATTTACACTGAAGTGACAAAAGTCATGGGATAGCAATATGCAAATGTACAGATGGCAGTAGTATCACTTAGAAAATGTATAAATGCGAAGTGCTTTGGCAGGACTTTCATTTGTGTTCAAGTTATTTATGTGAAGAGGCTTTGACGTGATTATGGCCGCACGACGAGAATTAACAGACTTTGAACGCGGAATGGTAGTTGGAGCTATACGCATGGATATCCATGCGTATATTATTCCATTTCGGTTATCGTTAGGGAATTCAACATTCTGAGATCCACAGTGTCAAGAGTGTGCCTAGAGTATCTAATTTCAGGCATAACATCCCACCATGGACAGCGCAGTGGCCGATCACCTGCACTTAACGACCGAGACCAGCGACGTCTGCGTAGAGTTGTCAATGTTCACAGACAAGCAACACTGCGTCAAATAACCGCAGAAATCAATGTGGGACGCACGAGTAACGTGTCCGACGATAGGACAGTGCGGCGAAAGTTGTCTTCCTTGGGCTATGCCAGCAGAAGACCGACGCGAGTGCCTTTACTGACAGCACGACATCGCCTGCAGCGACTCTCGTGGCTCGTGCGCATATCGGTTTGGTCCCTAAACGAATGGACGAAGGCTTGGTTCAGATGAGTCACGATTTCGTTGGTAAAGCTGATGGTAGTGTTCGAGTGTGCGCAGACCCCACGAAGCCATGGACCCAAGTTGTCAACAAGGCACTGTTCAAGCTGGTGGTGATCCATAATGATCTGGGCTGTTTTTACATGGCATGGACTCGGTCCTCTGGTGCAACTGAACCGATCATTGACTGGAAATGGATACCTTCAGCTACTTGGAGATAATTACAGCCATTCATGGACTTCACGTACTCAACAACGATGGGATTTTTATGGATGACATGCACCATGTCATCGGGCCACAATTGTTCGCGATTGGTTAGAAGAACATTCTGACAATTCCAGCGATGATCTGGCCACCTAGATCGCCTGACATGAATCCCATCGAACATTTATGGGACATCATCGAGAGTCAGTTCGTGCCCAAACCCTGCACCGTCAACACTTTCACAATTATGGACGTCTATAGAGGCATCATGCCTCAATATGCAGGGGACTTCCAACGACTTGAGTCCATGCCATGTCGAGTTGCTGCTCTTCGCCGGGCAAAAGGAGGACCGACAAAATATTAGGAGGTATCCCATGACTTTTGTCACTTCAGTGTATGTAATATCCACCCACGAAAACTGTTCAACGGAACAAAACTGAAAGTAGAATATCTTGCAGAACGTAATCGAGGCTACCACCATCATAGGAACTACCGTAGGTGAAGATGTATTCATTCTTCGCATTTCACTGATACCCAACAATTCAAATATGCCCTTCAATTTCAAACTATTGCATTTTCCCATGGGCTTGATTTCGCTGTGTGTGTCAAAAAGGCACTAGTTTAATCATTTTGTGTGGCAGATAAGAATAATAATAAGGAAGTACCGAAAGTTCTAGCAAAGCTGAGGTATGCAACTTCGCGGATAGGTCTGAATCTGATTCAGTTTTGCAAGATTCTGAACGTGATAACATCTTTGAATCTAGGATGTTGGGTAGGAATAGGAACGACGTCATAGCCAGCGCAACAAGTGCAGTGGTAATTAGAAGGAGAATTTTTTTTTTATAATTTAAGGAGTCATTTGGCAGCAGAACTTAAGAACTGCATTGGACGGCAAAAAATCTGGTGCTGACCTTGAGTAGGAAAAATTATGTATGAGATGAGAAATTAAGAAATCATTAATATTTCGATTTAATACAAAGAGTGGCTAAAATTTATTTAAAAATTCATATAACTTGACACTTTAAAACGACATATTTTTCACATGGCCTGTTATATGTAGTGTAACGTTCCCCTTCTCTGAAGAACACTTGGTCATCCACCCTAAAAGAAGGGACAAAGGACCCTCTTCTCGTCTTCTCGAAGAGGGGCGTGGACTTTCCCCCCTGGTTGCAGGTGTGAGAAAAAAAGAGATTGAGATGTGAAAGAGAAAAGAGCGGACGCTGGTTTGCGCGCTCTACTGTAGTGAAAAATGTATTTTAAAGTTTTCTAAATTGTAATCTGTACATAGTTGTATATAAAAGATAAATATTTAGTCTAGAACAGGTCTTGTTTCTTTGACGGAGATACGACTATGGTACAGTAGTTTGCTTAGAAGTCAGCACGCCGCATAGTTTGTTCATTTAAGCTTAGGAGGGGAAAAAAACAAAAAACATCTTGCACCCTCAAGAATTGTGATAAAAAGTTCGATAAAAGTAATATTTGTTTTCTATCTAAATAAAATCTAGATTTATTCAAGCTTGTTAAAATTTTGCATAATTCGCCTTGAACCAAAATAAAAGGAAAATTGTTATTTACCTGAGATTTCGGAAAAAATACTATCATCTCCATAAGTGAAGTCTGTTCACTCTGCTTAAATTTTGTGCAGCACCGAGTACTTCAGCTAGTTTTATATAAATGCGAAATAGAAAAATTACCATTTTACTTATTTAAGACAATCAAACTTTAACAAGAGAGTTAACTTGCTATGCATATAATCTCTCCAATTAAACCTAGTTCACAACAATGATTCAGAATTACTTAAATAATACTTTCTATCAAATTCATAGCATGATCAGATTCGAGTAAATTTTCCCTAATTAACTCAAAATGCAAATTTTTTAAGAAATTCTTCAATAACAAATTGAATCTTTGAATAACTCCTAAATTTTCCAATTTGTGTAAATTATCCAAGGCTCTGATTCTAACAATTGCTTATTAAAAGAGTCTCCGGCTTTGAGGTGGTGTTGAAGACTTCATTTTCTTATACAGCTTCTGAAAATCCTGAAACTCTACATGCCGTGTCTGTTTCACGTTCCTGCTCACAATATCCCTCACACATTCATTTACAGTATATATATATCTCATGAATTTTAGCACTTTAATTTCTTTTTCATCTTTCCAGATATTCTGGTTATGCATCTTATGCAGGAAAAAAAAAGAGATCAAATTCAGATTCGGTCAGTGGGTTCAGAACGAGCAGCACAAATGGGGACGAGCTCGAAGTCTTGAAGAAGAATCGGAAATGCGAGGTGGAAACGACTTCCCCGATCCTGGTATGGGCAGGAAGTTCCTTTCCCAGGTCAATATCACAGCGCCATCCCCCTCTTCCTCGATTTGGCAAGAAGACAGAATGCTCCACACAGACTCGCCCAGGTAAGTTGCGCTATCATCAGTAACATGTCGATCAAAATTCAAAATAAAAAGAGTTTCAGTATGATTTAATTCAGATCATATATTAACTTTAAAAACATGTAACAAACTGCTGTTCCAGGAATACGAAACCCTAAAATCCACAAAAAAATTTAAATAGAATAATTTTATAAGAAGAAAGAAAAAAAGAAATCGAATTCTTTTGTGACGAGAAATATACTTACTCTTATATACGTTTTACGATATTATATTTACGCAGAGTGGTTCAAGAATACTTGGAAAAATTGTAAAGGCAGGTAGAAGGGACAAGAATAAGCAGATTTCATAATGGTAATGCGTAGGTGTCATATGGTGCTGTTGAGTGGTAAATAAGAGTGATGTTCTGGACTAAAAATCCTTACTTCCTGTGCGTAGGGGCGTAGCGATAGGGGACATAAGTTGTAACCTCCCATAAGGACTGCTGTATACCGAAATTTTAAACAAATTACGTTTAATAAAGTAAAATTTAAACTTTCATTTAAATGAAGTACATTTTCACTTTTGCATTGCGCGGATTTGTTTACATAAAAATATCTAGGTTTTAATACAATGCGGAATTGAAAAAAATAAGCACAAAAATATTTGAATATCGCCAAAACATAATGAACGTATACTAAAATTCCCCTCTTTAAAACTACGTTTTGTTCCCTGTGTTGTCAAGAACAGTTTGATATATTTGTGTCAAACTAATATAGCACACTGCTTTCAAGCCGAGCAACTGTTTACTTATTTGTTATGTACGCAGTATATATCCTGCGATCTGCTCATTCATTTCAATTCATTAATTACTCTGAATTAATTTGAGACAAATTAGTACGTATTATGAGCGATAAAAAAGGACAAAATAAGCTAACGACTTCTTTTTTAAAAAATTCCAAGAGAAGAAGAATTCAAAAATGAAGTTTCAAGGAAGCATACCGAAAGAAATAAAGAGAATCAGATATTTTCCTCTTCCAAAAATCAGCTTGTCATTTCAACATTCAAGTTCTTTGAGAATGGAATATTTAGAGAAAACCACAATTTCTTTTGCAGAGCCTAACGACTTTGCTTTATATGTTACTGATAATGAAATACAGAAAAAAGAACTGAATCTTTACAAAACGTGTGGGTGCCAGATACAGATAAATTACTTCAAGGAAGACGTAGTTTAATATTTCAGCACAAATGTTTGCCACGCTGGAAGTAGCTATATTACAGCCGCTCACAAAATGGAGCAAGTTTGCATATATTTTCAGCTGTGATGGAGCTGATACCGGGAGTCAGAAATTGATAAAAACTTGCGAAACACTTTTTTAATAATTATAAAAATACTATTGAAACATTCAGCGTACATGAGGCTACATTGTATCACAAAACTTCTGTGCTACAGACTGATTATTTATTGCCAAGGCTCTACAGGTTGTACGTATTTTGAGATGTATGCATCGTTTGAGGAACGCAGTGCTCATTGAGATTTACTTGTATCTTGGATATTGTGAAGGAAAACGGAGTAGTCGCTCAAATATGTACTCTTCTTTTTCAGTATATTTAATTCCATAGAATGATAATACAGACGAAATCGTCTGAAACGAACTTCAACGGATATTCAGTTTGGTTCGCTAAATTAGATTGGTTTGCTGTATACGATTTGATAAGAAAAATATCTGATGCGGACACCTCAAGTTCTCCTTGTACGGAATATTAAATTATAAGCATTTTTGCTGCATTTAATTTAAACCTATTTCCTCGAATTTCATTAGAGATACATTTCTCATTCAATTAATTCAGTTCTCAGTTCGCGGCAAGTCAAAAATACATAAAAACTCAAAATATCTTCATTAAAAATTTTAAAATACAGAAAAACATAAAACACCAAATACAGTTAAAACAATTTTCACAATTAAATTTAGAGTTTCTACGCAAAACAAGCAATTCGGCCAGCAGCCAAGAAGGCAGATTTTTAGATGCACAAAACTAAAAGTTTCATTTTGGTCCTACTCGGTGAAGACACTAAACGTGCAGAAACTGACTTAATTCACTCTTCTGCTAAGTTTCAAATGTAAACAAATATGGCTATAAGCTAGGTTTTGCCGCACTTGAACAACTTTTAAATTATTGATAATTCTCATTGCATGCAGATTAATCAAAGGCATACGAACCGTTACCGGAACATGAGAACAACATATTTCAATCATTTTTAAAGCAAAAAATGCACGATTTATCGCCATATGAGAATAAAAAATCGAGCTCACCGAGCCGAGTAACACATATCAAAGATTGAATGAATTAATTGAAATTCATTGAAGTCGAAATAAATTTCCTAATACTTGCGCTATAGCTGCAAAGTAAGATAATAATAATTTATTTACTAAAAAATATATATATATATATGCTTATATACTTTTGGTGCGGCCGATTGCGACCAGAAATGGAGGTACACATCTACACTTTATAGCAGTAATATATATAAAAATTGCAACTTTCTGAAGCTACTCGTTTTTGAGTTATGTGAGATATATACGTACATACAGACGTCACGAAAAAATCTCTTCTGAATTTATTTTAAATCCATTTTGAAATCCATTTTGGAAAAAAGAGTCCTTTATTCTATCCTTACGTATAGATGGGACGCAAAAGCATCATTAAACTGCATTTGAAAGTGGTCAAAATGGATATTTTCTTTGAAATATGATAACCAAAATCTTTCGCGATTACATTACTTCCTTTACTTCGTACAAGGCAGTAAAATGGATCGTCTGAGAAAACAGTGTACATATTGACATATAAATAACATAAAATGAAACATCTAAAAACTTAATAATAACTGTAATTTAAAAAAGTCATATTAAGCGTTAGTTGCACTCCTAGACAAGAAAAACGACGCACCAAGAAGGAGTTATCCGAATGGGACGAAAATCGGTAGAAGTGATGTACATGTACAGAAAAACAAATGATTACAGTTTGAGAAAAATTGCATGATTTATTGAAGTGATAGAGCTTCACAAAGTGTAAACGTCAGTAACGCGTTTGTCCACCTCTGGCCCTTATGCAAGCAGTTATTCGGCTTGGCATCGACTGATAGAGGTTACGGATGTCCTCCTGAGGAATATCGGGCCAAATTCTGTCCAACTGGCGCGTTAGATCGTCAACATCCCGAGCTGGTTGGAGGGCCCTGCCCATAATGCTCCAAACGTGCTCAACAGGAGAGAGATCCGGCGACCTTTCTGGCCAAGGTAATGTTCGGAAAGCACTAACGCAAGCAGTAAAAACATGTGCAATGTGGGGGCGGGCATTATCTTTCTGAAATGTAAGCCCAGGGTGGCGTGACATGAAGGGCAACACAACGGGCTTCAGAACTTCGACGTACCGCAGTGCTGTAAGGTTGCGACGGATGACAACCAAAGGGGTCTTACTATGAAATGAAATGGCACCCCAGACCATCAATCCTGGTTGTCGGCCTGTCTGCCGAAAGCCAGTCAGGTTGGTATCACACCGCTGTCCGGGGCATCTCCAGACTCGCCTTCGCTGGTCATCGGGGCTCAGTTCAAAGCGGGACTCATCACTGAAGATTATTCTACTCCAGTGAGTGACATTCCAGTGCGAATGAGCCCGACACCACTGCAAACGGGCTTGACGTTTTACAGAGATCAATGGTAGTCGGCGCAAGACTCGCCCTGACCTCAGCCTCTTTTTTTGTGAGCCGTAAATGAATGATCCTTGCGGTCACTGAGACACTAGTTGCACGTACAATCGATGATAACGATGCATGTGAGGCTGTGAGTGCCGCTCTGACAATTGCTCGGTCTGTCGTTTCTCTAGGCCTACCGCTTCCTTCTTGACGCTGTGTGCGGCTATGGTTCACCCATTCCTGCCAACATCGTCTAATAGTGGCATCGCTGCTGCTCAATTGTCGAGCTATTCGCCGATAAGACCAACCGGCTTCTTTGAGCCCAACTACAGGACCTCTCTCAAATTCTGACATCTGAGCATATCGTTCGCGCACCTGTATTTGAGGCATAGTTACTGTCTATTAGAGTACACGGAATGAAATTCGTGAAGAATTTATGACCTGGAATCGTAATTTCTCCTCTTAAATATCCTGCCAGTTGCGCAGATCAGATGCGCTGTAGCGACAACCGTTCATTCATTGGCAGCCAAAATGTAAAATTTTGCATTTCCCGTCGAAACCTGTATGCATATCAATTTGTGTCGAATTTGCTTTATATCTTCTCGGTGCGTCGTGGTGCGGTTTTTTTTTTTTTTTTTTTTTTTTTTTTTTTGTTGTTTTTTAAGAGTGTACTTTAGTATTACGGGCATTTATTACATTTGTTTTTATTTATATACTGTTTAATCACAAGTTAATGATTTTACACGATGCAAACAAGCCGATAAATATACAAAATTTCTATTTCCTAAAAGGTCAATGTATTGCGTAGCCTCAAGCTCATAAGAATCTGTTTAGTACTTCCGCTTTCCTTGAATAACAAAAATTTCAAAATTTCCATCATAGCATCAACCTTAAACAGAGTATCAATAAAAGAACTTGATATGGAACCAAAGAATCGATCAAAATTCCTTGGCTCAGTTGGTCAATGGTCCTTTGGCTTAGTGGCTGATACATCATAAGATGTGTTTATTGTCTGTTTTGGTTTTCCAAGAACTGAGTGATACACCTGCCTCGTATAGACTTTGTTTAGATTAGAAGGTGGGAGTGAAGAATCGCAACGTAAAAGTGATTTTCGTTATCCTAATTGTTTAAACATGAATACATGTTAGAGGCAGTTATTTTTCAGTTGAAAACTGCAAACATTTTAGATAATGTAATAAATCTCTTAATTAATATAATAATATTTATAATATTCCATTATTCAGATTATTTTCTCAGAATTTGTTGACATAAAATATTGAAACCGCATTTTAAAATATTAATTTATTTATTACACGATCAATAATTATTGTAATAATATTTCTTCCTTATTAAGCCTTTTCTTATCTTCGTATCGCAGTATGTTATGATAGTTATTATTACTTATTAATTACATTTTGAACATTTCAATTGAGAAAAGCAATTTCTTGTTCTGCAGTAACTTTCGAAACCAAGAAAGCACTGATTAGAACTTTCAAACTCTTTTTCCTTTCTTCCGGTGACATAACACATTTTTTCCGAAACGTGAACTTCGCTTCCACAAAATAAACAAGAAAAACCTCAAGCAGCTGTAATTTTGTTTACGTTATTGGAATGAGTGGCGCCGATAATCGAGTTAGCCTTGAAAAAATTTTAAATATGGAAATTCCTTCATTTTTCATTAGAAGACATAAAGTGCTTTTCAGGCAAATTCGCATAACTCTTGGAGGAAAAGAAATTTAACGATGTTTTTTCGCGACTTTCGATTTCCAACTTTACAAAATTCATAAGATCATCGACATTAAAATTTTCACTGCTCGCTCTCTGACGAGCAAAATCAAGCGCTACGTTCCTAGCAATATATTTCATTAACAAAAGATAAAATAAATTTTCATGTGATTTAGTTTTGATTCGTAATGAATACAGTTATCGCCTAATTCTTTCAAAGCATGAATATCATTCAAACTTCAGGTCGTAAATTTAACAGTATATGCATGTATGAATTAATAAGAATATCTTTCGGACCAAATTTCTTAAAAATTTTAAGTGCTTCGTCATAATTCTCGGGATAATAATGAAAATCCTTCAACAGTTTCTGAAAGTGCACCACCTAATAAACTAAGCAAATAACTGATCAACTTTAGATAACTTTTCATTTTTATTTATTGTCGTATTAAAAGTACTACGTATTATAAAATGTTTGCCCCACCCCAGCGTTTCCATAAAATTTATCAATCGTAATTTATGGCAATTTAACATTATAATTAGAGCTTCTCTTAATAACACAAAAACAATGGACAGATACATTACTATTATCATGAGAGGAACCATTAAAAACTAGTGAATTGTTAACATTTTGTTTTTCTTTTAATAATTTTGTGCGCCTCAAACTGTCTACAATCTTTTCTCGCATTCCAAGGCACTTTCGATTTTAGATTCAGTGGCGCTTACGTCACTTAATTCTGTAATTTGTTTTTTTATTTAACCATTTAAAGGAAACAACTTTTGCTTTCAAAATGTCTAATTATTCTTCTGTGTTTCCAATATTACTAGAAGTATTTAAAGATTCAGTAGATATGTTACTTAAGTTATGGCTGAATGAATAACTTTCAGTTCTGTCTTAAGTTTCGCAATTTCTGCTTCAACCATTTCTGTATGAATAAACTTCAGTTTATAACGAAATAACTTGAACAGAATACTTTTTATCTTTCTAATGAATCACTTACGATTTAGTGGAACATTCGTAATCCATTATAAATATGCCACTTCTTTTCACCGCTGTAGGGTTTCATCAAAATTGGGTTCTTTGCGTATTAACATCGACGCGATGTGGGCATCAATCCTAGATACGTTTTATAGTACATTATTTTATTTAAAATATACAGTACTAACAAATAAAGATAGCTATATATGTATAAGATAAAAATACATAACCCAGCATTATAATTTAATTTAGTAATAGCCTCTTAATTCCTGATTTATAATTTGGGTATTTCCTTTTCGTATTCTAAAAGTAGTAATAACTGTTCTGGACTGCGCCATTTCTAGACTAATCTCTGTCACATGCAGCTATTTCGCTGTGCTCTCTTCCTATCGCAACAGTACGAAAAATATAAATGTCCTTGAATAGGCACGATTAGAGTGTCAAGTATGTTGTGGCTACAAATGTCAATTGAAATAGAAATGAATATTTAATCTTACTAGGTTGCCAAGCTAGCCAATCTTACTAGGTTGCTAAGCTTACTAGGTTGCCAATATTTAATCTTACTAGGTTACTAAATTACTAGGTTGCCAAGTTTCTTATTCATTAGGGATTCAACAGTTTAGCCTTCTACGCAATCAGAATTCTTCCTCTTCAGTATGGATCAAGGTTCTATGCTATCTACGCGCTACGCCATTAGTATTTCTGCGTTTCTACTTCTCAGCGTTCCCACATCGGTGCATCTAAAATTGTTTATACACACACACATATATATATGTATGTATGTATATATAACATAAAATTAATAATATAATATCCTTTTGGCTTACCGGCTAGCATACATAAGCCGTTATCTTGACTTCTGTTTCTCGTGATGTCTCTCGGTGTATCGTAAAACAAGTTGACAGCACGCTAGGTAGGCTAAAGTGAGCATGCGTGGCGTTCTCCGAATCTTGACGACGACATTAGTACGAAATGTTTTAAAAACGCAACAAAATTGTAAATTGAGAAAGCAGAAGAAATATGGTCTGGTTGGTTTATTTGATTATGGTAAAGTACGTGAGAGCTATCTTTCTAATGGAAGGGATGCCTTCGTAGAGACTTTCTAAAGAAACCTAACTCATATCCACGTTACACATAAGAACCCCCATGCAGCTATCCTGTTATAATTGAATTATCACTGTTCAGCGACTTAACCGCTCAGCAGCTGGTGAGCAAAGAAGAAAAATTAAACAGAGTGCTTCATAAACGAAAATTAAAGAAATAAATAAGAATGCCAGAGAAATTAAAAATTATAGCTATATAAAAAATTGTAATTAAGTTAAAATTTTAAAAGAAAATTAAATATAAGAAAATGTGTAAATAAATTTGACTGAACTTAAAGATATGGGCAAGAAAATGTTAAAAAATGCTCTTGAAATTAGGTGCGAAAAAAATAGGAAAAAACTTAGTAGTTAAAGGTAAATTATATAAATTTATAAATTACAAATTAACCCGAGAGAGTAAATGTATAAAACAAGCCAATAATTTCAGAAATGTTAATATTCTAAGTAAGATAGCAAGAATAAAAGAAACTCTCAAGTTGCAAGAAACACAATGTATTAAGAAAGCACCATTTAAATTAAGAATTCTAATCTAATGATACAGGATGGCTCAAATAAAAATAAGCTGCAACAGAAAGCAAAGAAACTGTTCAAGAATGGAACTCATTTATGAATCCGTTAAACAATGAAGAACTTTCTAAGTTATTTCCAACAGGAAGAAGTGACAACTCATCAGCCCATACGTACTACATTTCAGTATATCATATTCCCGGCATGTTTAGTTCTGATAAAAGTTGCTTGCGAAAGTCAAGATACACGTGATTCAAGCTAGTTTACTCAGATCACTGGATTCTTTGTGATCGGGAAAATTAGTGTCAAACGTTTATTGATATTTATGAGAGAAACTGCAGTTAAACGTTTATTGCAAAAATCCTGGCATTAAACTGCACTGGAGCATTCAGTTCGTGATTGAAGCCATTTCACTGAACAGCGATTGATCTTTAACAGTCTGTTGACCAGAGCGCAAAAGTACCAAGATGAAAGGCGGCCACTTGCAATCACTTCTATAAGTCACAGAATTAGTCTTTTAATTTTATTTTATCCTATTTTATCCTATCAACATGCTATAAAGACTACTTTTATAAATACCACATCGCATAAAGAAATATAAATAATTACTGAAAATGTTTTTAAAAATAAAAACTTTAATTTTTTTAATTCGTTGAATTGTGACAGCGGTGACTTTTCTAGTTCTGTTTTCTGTCCTTAGTAAGCGAATTCGCTGGGCGACTGCTTGCTCTCAATATAATGCAAAATTTAAACTTTTTTTAAGTCCTAATTTCTGATGAAATCATTCTTAATATATTTATTCTTACAGACAAGAAGGTCGTTCTTCCATAAGTCGCAGAGAAGAATTCAGGCCGGCCCCTTCAGAACAACAGCTCAGATCTGCGGTCCGAAGTGGAGACGAGTGGAGTTGGTCTCCTAGCAACCACCGACGCCGCTCTTTAGTTGAAACAGTCATCAGGAACGACTCTTTGAGTTCAGAGCAATCGGAAAATCCTCCGTCTGTCCCAGGACCGCTTCCAAGAAGACGCAACGGAGGATCAAGTTACCACAGGCGGTCGGGAAGTAGCGAGTCTGAAGACGAGGCGAGATCCACACCTTCTTCCTGCGCGGATTCGGAGAGTGATAGAGGTCAGTGGCACCCATGCTTTTGTTACGCTTTACTTCCTCATAATAATGCTGCTCTACTTTAAATATCTTATTCCTTACCTGAAAAGAGATAATGTTGTCAACTACGATACCTATATTAATTTGTCTTAACATCATGCGCAAATTATCAGTAAGTTTAAATAAAAAATGCTCATAAAGTGTCATTTGTGTTTATTACTTTATATTTCAGTGATAAAACTAGTAAGCTATAATTTGAAGTCACAAAATATTTCACTTTTCTCGTAGTCAAATTATGTAGGGATAATTTTAGACTGTAATCGTTTGACAAACTTTTAAGGAAATGAAATGCATTTCAGTTGATTTATGGTTACTTAATAGCAGCCTTTTTATTTTATTTTAAGATTTAAAGATCGCCTGTTTGAATTTATTTGTAGATATAATTAAAAATTATCTAGCAGTAAAATTATTATAAATAAATTTATATTAAAATTCGTGAGAATTTGAATTTCTCTGGAATTAGATCATATTCAAATTTATAACTGAAATAAAAGTTATTTTTATGAAACCACTCAACGATTCGTGATATCCTCGCTGCTTTATATCTCTAACACTTAGGGAAAATCTTTTAATGGATTACTACCACAAATATCTCAGTAATTCAATTAGACTAATCTAAATGACCATGCGTATCTGTAAATTTATTTTAACCTTTTCCTGAGTTTAAAAATATAAATTTATTTTAACCTGATTTTGATTTTGAAAATAAATCTAATGTTACATCATTCCACAGTTTGATAATATCACAGATAAATTCATTTATTTTCGGTTATGTAAAAAGCGAACTCAAGCTTCCACGACTGTTTCCTTTTTCACTATTATCTAACCTCTGTTAACTCAGTTTGATTTTAAAGGAGATTTGAATACAGGTAAATAAACCTGTGGCTGACATTTCTTCTTAGGCGTTAAAAATTAAAATTCTTACAGTTCGCTAGGATCTGCAGTAGTGTTCTCAAAAAATTTCCATTTCTTGCTTGAAATATGAGTTTCAGTTTTCAAATGTTTAACTAGTGTTGCTCTTATATTGTTTTAATCGTTCTCCTCATATCCCTTTTCCATTTCAATCATGTTTTCTAATTTACACGCATTACTGTAAAGTGTCAACTGGAAATTCTGCACGGAGTAATTATTTATTAATTTATTCCCTTCCTGCTGTAAAGCAGGAAGCTTAGCTTTGATATTGTCTTATAGCTCAAATTTTAGCGAAGTAAGGTATAAAGTGGGAAGTTTGATTTTGAATAAGATACCGTAAATGCTGAAGGCAGGATTTAACTTTTCTGTTTTCTACTTTCCATTCGCATAGAGTTATAGGATTCCGCTATGAATTATTTGCTAATGAGCTCATGTTCTTATGGTTTGTGTGAATGAGAATCTATGTTAAGTTTAACTTATCAGTAATATATTTTATAATATATAAGATAAATTAATACCAAGTTTTAGATAAATTCAAGCTTTTAGATGATGCTTCCTATATACGAAAAATAAATCAAACTAAATTTTAAAATTTATTTTCACATAAATATTGGCAAATATTTTAAATGGTTTGTCGAGACGAAATTAGCCAAAATTTTTTTTTTCGTTTGAAGATGAGAGATTTATATCAGATTGCCTTCACAATTAATAGAGTTTTGTTCAAAATCTTTGGTGATATAAAGTTGTTCTGTATGGTAAAAATTTTATACATTATAAATCAAAATGTTTTTCTAAAAATTTATAAAAATGAGTTAATAATCTAAATTTTAAAATAAATCATGAAAAATGCACGAATTTTACTTAGATTGAACCTAAATTTCGAATTCTGAATGAAAGAATCAAGTAAGAAGAGGTATTAATAAATGTATACCAAATTCAATTAACAATGATGTTGCTAAAATGCAGGAACTAAAATATAGAGCCCCTAAATTTTTAACAACGACTCTGGCGACTTTTATGAAACTTGACCCTTTGGCATAATTTTAAACGTAGGATCGAAATATGAAAAACTACGATATATCTTTTCAGAAAAAGTCCAATTTGTAGCAAAATACCCATGCTGAAACAACTGCTGTGTATAAATCTGATTTATAGCCTAGGTCGCGCCTAGGCTATAAATCAGATGAACATGAAAAACGCAAGTTGAATTTCATCAATCGGGCCAGTGGAACGGAAGATATAGAACTGTCCCCCCTTTTTTCGACTGAGTACACTTGTTAGGGAAAGATTAATTAATAAACAAGCTCCGAAAATGAATTTGTGTATCAAAGGAAACCCCAGATATAGCACCCACTTGATGAGCAATTCGCTTAAGTTGTGCTTGTTCTTGACATAAGGACTCAAAGTTCAATATTTTCGATTATTATGCTAGGAAATTTGAGTCATGTGGTTAACAAGCAAAAGATTCATTTATATAATAATTTCTTCCACTGTGGGAATACACCCTTTATTCACAAAAGATGAGTAAAGATAATGAATTTCCGATCTTTAACTCTCATTTAAAAGTAATAGTTATTATTATTATCATTATTTATGATAACCACCAAAAAGACACAAAATCTTTTTGGAGAGTTGAAGACAGTTGATTTGCTGCATTTGGCATGATCAGATGTTTTTACGTTATCCATGAACTTGCTTATAAACATTAAAACGCTGAGATCAAATCTTAACAAATTTTCTTGATTTACGGCTCTATTAATGGCTATTTAAATTTAGTTCGCCGCAAGAGCTGGCAGTAAAAGAGGAAAAGAAGTAGCATAACTATGTTGTGGTATAAGCATATTTGTCCTAATAATTTTCTCTTATGTATTTACTTGTTTTAAAAAAACTTTGTGCCGTTAGGAATTAAAATCAATAGAAAAGAAAGTGATGATCTCAAAATATGAAATGGATTTGAATTGTTTAATTTCCTGTATTACATCTAAAAATCTTCCTTTAGTTCCTAAAGAAGCAACATTAACGATATCATTAAACTTAGATTTTTCTAGTTTTTAAGAATTGTTTGTTCTGTTTGTCAAAAAGAAACATTTTTGAAAATTTTAAATGAGATATTTCCACTTGAAAATGGTCCATTGAGGATTTCTTAATATAGTTACATATAAAAATTAATTTATTCTCAAACAATTCTTATTGAAATTCATTTAGATTCACTTAATGTTTTTTACTGTTACTTCATTAAACAAGTACGTAAAATTTAAAACAAAATAAACCTTTCCGTTAAATTTTAAAACACAAACATTGTTTTAAGAAATGTTTTTGAAATATGAAAAAAAAAGTAATAACTGAATTTTGCCAAAAGGTGTGTGCTTAAAGCATCGCTAAGTGGAAAGCATCCAATTTTCCTTTGTTCAGGAGACTGCTTGAGACCTGAAAATTAGGGAAAAAAGGTGCTTTTGCATAAAAATAATGTAAAACGTCGATCTTTATCAGCGATTTCAAATTTTTCGAGAATAACATAAGCAGAATATACGAGACTTAGAAATCAATAGATGACAAACACAGAAGAAATAAAACGGTTCGTGAATAGAAAGAAAGAGAAGATAAATCGATAATCTTAAAAGGCGGGAAACTCTTAACTTCAGGCTACTCATTACATGGTCACTAAACAATGTAAATGGAAGTTTCGAGACACGAGGTAACTGTAGGTATTTTGTGGGGCATAGAACTTTGAATTTCCTTCTAAGGACTTCAGCAATTATTTAGTTTTTATGTTTATATTTTTTAGTAATATAACTAATAATAATTTTTATATTTGTAGTTTATTCGAAATATGTTCTACAAATGGCTCTCAGTTTTTAGATTTGAATTTAAAACATTAATTAATAATATCGTGACATTATGATTTTTTTTAAATTTTAAACATAATTTACATCTGATTTAACTCAAAACGAATTTTTTCCTTGAGCACAATAATGATTATGCACTGCATATTCATCAACGACATAATCACACGTTATCCTTGCAACCAAGTTTGTGTAAATTTCTTTAATTATAATATTTTTATGTTAATAAAAACATAAAAAATATTAATTTAAAGTCAAATTAACGTTTAAGTTTTATTGTGTTGAATATTTTTAGCTAATAAAACATAGAACATACGTAACAGGATTTGGAAATTTACAATAAATTAAATATGATGTAATAAATCAAAGGAAACACAATTTTTAAAGATTTTTTGCTTTTGAAAGATGCTATGTATTATATTTTTTAATTTATGCTAAAAATAACTTATATTAATTTTAGACACAGGAAGTCACGATTTGCATTATTAATTAAGCATTTGATTTCTAAAACCGATTATGTTACCTACTTTAAATCCTTGCTTATTACCAATAAACACGTAAGCACTCTCTGTAAACATGTGAGCAAATAATGCACTTTTTAAATCATTAAATCATTTAAATCATTTCACACCTTTCCACGCTGATGAGTGTTACGAGAGATCATGCGTGTATACCCTGCCTGTTGTATGGTCTTTTTTTCCAATATTTTGACATATTCTGATACCAAATTTCATTAAAATCTGCGCATCAGTTTTGGAGCAAATAGGGCTTAAATTAAAATTCTCTTAATGTTCAGCTTCACGTTTCCCGATATCAAATGAATATACATAGACATGTTTAAGTGTTAAACGCCTCATACGTTTACACAGTATGTATTCCTTAATATTTACTTCACTTTATAGGTGCTAGAAAGGAATCGAAACTGACACAGCTGAAACTATAGAAGGCAAGTTCTTTGATCGTCAAGTTACTGAAACCACTTTCTTTTCATTTAAGCAGCTTCCTACTGTGCCTTCTCATAGACGTTTTTCTTATTCCATGTGCTGTTGCATTCTGAACGGATATAAACACTTATTTTTCGGATGTTCCTTCCTGCTGAACTTTGGTTTAAATCGTAATATTCCAAAGAAATTAAGAATAAAGAAAATTATTAATCCTTTTCAAATTACTGATTCCTATAATTTATAATGTATCTGAAAGAAGTGAAAGTTTTATAAAAACATTTAATTTAAGTCTGAAAGCCTTCAGGAATATATTTATAAGTATTTCAGCATAGGAAGAGAATTACCTTCCAAAATAATAATTAGCCAATTAATTTGAACATATTTACTTGAAAAACACAACATAAAATGCTTGTATAAAACATAAAACCGCATTTTGGGATGGATTACACATTCTTACATTACAGCATCTCTAGAGACAGTCATTACTTTCCTTTCATTTTCTGCCAGCTTAGAATCCAAGTTTGAAAGTTAGGGAGAAGAGATCAAAGTCTCTCCTACCAATCCATATTCAAAATGAGAAGAGAAAAGTTAGGAAGTTTTTTTTTTTTCTTGGGAGAGGGTGTTACAGTATTTATGTAATATTCCTTAAAAGCATTTAAAAACTGAGATTGTGAAATATTTTGCTTAAAAGTATACTGAAGTTTTAACTGTTTTCTTTAATTTATATTAAATCAAAGATATTATAAAGTTTCTAATTTCCATGTGGCGTTCGGTGATTAGGAGAAGCTAGCATAAAATAACTGAATGATCCATTTCCCGTGATTAAATATCTCTCAAAAATATAATATTCATTTACGTGAAGCAAAAATATCGTTTAATGTTTGTACAGATATCTGTGAATTTAAATTAAATTTGTTATTTACATAACTGAAAATGATTTAAGATGGAAATATGCATATACCGTGTCACAAAAATCCCCACACGGCCTTTATTTCTACAGCCGTTGGTCATAGATATATAATTCCATTTACAAAAATGTTTCAAATGATTAAAAACATATGTTTTTTAATTAACCAATATTTTGTAAAAATTGAGAACTCTAACTTTCATATGGTCCTTGGTCTTTATATTTAAAATATTTTTATAATCTTAATAAAATATGCAGTACAAAACGTGTGACTTCCGTATGGCAAAAATTGACTGAGAAATTTCATTTTAAAGCTGGACATCATATTTAGAAGCCATATAAAAATTGATTAGCGAATATTTTCATTTATATGTGACCAGAAATAAAATATAAGTTTAGGAAAATGTTTTTAATGTTCATATATAAATTGACAAGTGTTTCCATGCATATTATTGTGAAAAGTATTGATCGATATAGCTTTCTTCAGAAAGGAGATCCTATTAACAGAATTGTTAGATACGAGAGTAAATATTCACCATTTTGTCCATTCATAAACTTATTTCTACCTATATAATCTTTGCAAAAATTTGAACACAGCCAAACAAGTTTATTCTACCAAAAATAATAACATTTTTACAACAGTTGCCACTCAAAGCAAAACTAAAGGGAAAATAATATCTGAGATACTGTTGACTTTATATGAAGAATGCTATACTTTACAAGAATCTTGTAAAAGTGTCGCTCTAGAAAACACTTGCACGCGCCAGTGTTGACACATAGCCAATTTATTACATTATTGGTATAAATTAAAAATTAAAAAGACTTTAGTCTGATGAATATTTAGCACGATTGTTATATTATGATTCTATTAAAGTAATGAAACATTATGAGAATGTTAATAACAATGCATTTATGACGTTTAAAAATTCATAAGTTTCTTGTGCGGTAAGTTTTTTGACTTATAAATTGTAACAAAATTACAAAATAAAAGATGTTAACCAATTACGACCTACCTATTAGTAAATCACAAAAGAATATTATTGAATGGTATTTAAGGAGAAAAAAATTAAGCTTGAATTATTTTAATGCATCCTTTAACTGACCTCTCAAATTAATTTGAAAATAGTATTGGATATCCAAAATTTGAAATTAAATATCGCCAACAATTTTTGTCGTAGGGAAACCAAATGCTTGTTTTTTATTTTTCATTATCAGATTTTCCTAAATATAAGGAACGGGAGGCGGACGTATAAATTTTGGGGTTGCGTAATTTTTACAAAACTAATGCTTTAAAAATTAAAATTTCCGGAACATGAACATTTCAGTCATTTAAAACATTTTTGTAAGTGGAAATATATGTCTAAGACCAACGGTTGCGGAATGAAGGCCAATTAAGAACTTTTATTGATACGATTTATATAGAGCAATTTTTTATAATCTGTTAAGGATTCATGTGCAAAAACTTTAGAATCAAAATTAAATAAAGCTTTTATATAAAAAATTTATATAAATGAATTTTTTATAATCTATTAAGGATTCATGTGCAAAAACTTTAGAATGAAAATTCTTCCGCATTCTCAAATATTTTTTAATTTCTAATGACAAGTACTTTGATGACTAAATCGCTGACACAAATACTTATTTAACTTTATATGCAAACTGGAAATAACAGTTATTTAAATATATTTTCCTAATACATTATAACAAATAGATACTTCTTGAAGCTTTAAAATCTAACAGCAATTCTGAAATTTTTGATTATTTTTTGTTCATTACTTACATTCTAAGTAAGGAAGCCTATAGCAAAGAGGGGGAATTTTTATGCTATAGGCAATCATTTTATTGATTTCTGGACACCTTTTAATTTTAATGTTAGGCTGTTGCTTGCAATAGCATTAGAAGTAGCTTAAAAGGTAAAAATAGTCTTTGGAATTACTATACAAAGGTGAAAAAATACGAAAAAGTCAGCAAGAAACATTTTGGTTTCTGCGTTGCCTTGACATTCAGAAAAATATTTTATTTGTAGCACATTAATAGTTTTAATGCATTGTAACTAATGTTATGCATGTGGTTGTACTCAGCTACGTATTTGCATTCAGCAAGTTTATTTAACCAATTTATTGGTCTTATATCTGTTTTAGTTCATTAATAATACACTTGTTTAATTTCTAATCGGATGCGTAAATGTGATTGCTCAGTTGCTATACAGTTTCTAAAATGCATCAGTTTAAGAAATTATTTTGTTATTTAATAAATGATCAGATCATATGCGGGACAGTACAAGGTTGTAAATACTTTATTGTTCTCTATATCAAAGGGAAGAGTAAAGTATGTGAAAGGTGAAAATTTTTTAATGGGTAGGAAAGACAGTTTTAAGGGAAATGTAGGAGCCAGAGCCACATGAATTAAGGTGACCACGTATGCCGTTATTTGACATATAAATTTCTAGTAGCTTTTGTAATTATATGATTAGCAAAATTTTGAAAGAGCTATTAATACACCAAAGCATCTCCCCGTTTCTTAATGCAAATTTTGTGCATGAATTTCTTACATTTCTGTGATCTATATTTAAGCAGTATGTGTGCCTAGTGTTATTCACTTTCGCAGAGCGGTGCATTAACCCCTGTCGTCCTAGATTGCTCTTTGTAATGGTCATTTCTCTCATTCTGCGTCCAGTCTCGTTGCGGAAGGAGGTGCCAAGGGTCCACCCGAGGGATTCCCGTCGGCGGAGCCAGGAGGACTATCGGCCGACGACTTTGGTGAGAAAATCCCTCTCTGTGCTCTGTGTGTCCGTCCGTCCGTGTCCTCTTGGCTCCGGGCCTCCCCGTCCTCCGACCACCGCAGCCTCATTCTCCTTTCCTGCCGTTCTTTTTTAAATTATTATTTTTTTTTATAATTTCAACCCCCCCTTTTTTTTTAAACATGATATGTTCTGCCTTTCCGCTGACACTTGTTTTTGCTATTATTAAAAGCTGTCGCTTTGCTGCCTTCATCTTTTGATTTTCCTGTCTTGTGGGAAATTTTTTAAATCTATTAAAATAATTGCTGAAGTAATCTTTTTCTATTTTCTTGAATAATCAATCTTTTAGCTTTTAATTTATCAAATTTCTCTTTTTTTTTTTTTTTTTTTTTTTTTTTTCCTTTCTTTTCTTTTTTTTCAATGCAATGCCTACACTGCTTTTTAATGAAAGGTATTTCTGCTGAATAAAAAAAAACACTTTGATGCATAAACTACAATATATCTAAATTTAAACGACTTTATTCCTCTCATATATGAATAATAAAAAATGTAATATACACACACAAATCCAAATATTAAATATTATTTAAGATTTAGCATTTTAAACGGCAACTCACTCGGCAAGTTCCAAAAGGTTTTCCATCCGCCAATGGTCATCCAAATCACTTTCATGTCAATATTAACAAAAGGCGACATTTTAAAAATTTTTTTCTGGATGGACCTGAGCCTATTGTATGTTTCTGTATAGGGCACGGCCAGCGGCGGCACCGTTGTCACCGCAACGGCCTACCCACGGAGCCGCGTCGGCCCCACGCAGATCCCCGCAGACACCCTCGCTGGGACTCTGGGGACGGGAACACCAAGGATTCCGGCATCGACACCAGCAGCAGCGCCACCTTGAACGAAGATACGCATCGTCAACAGCAGAAGGTACTTGCTAGCACCTACCCTTGCTCCCTCTATCCCTGCTTACAACCCGGTAGCCAAGTGCTTATGTTGTGTATGATTATATTGTACCTATTATTGAAATTTTTGCATTACATTTGTTAAAATATTTGTGAATGCCTACTGTTTTGATTTTTCCATCTATGCCTTAATACTATTATAAATTATATTTCATTAATATGTAGATATGTATATGTAAATTTAATTACTTATAATTCGTACTTAAATATAAACTGAAAATTAATACTTGCTCATATGATAAAAATACGTTTGATGATATTTCAATCATGAATTCATGTGACTTTAATTATTTTTTCAAACTAATGTTTGTGACTGTCTATCATAAGTCTGTGTTTCCAACTAATTTAATTTTCAAATTAATTAATGTAGGTTGGTAGCTTTATCACTCAGGAAATTTAGTCACAATTATATTTCGATTATACATTCATTTATACATGGGCTTTCAATTTTGACATCTATAAGTTTTTAAAGTTTGGGAAGATAACTTATTAGGAAATTATATGTCTACAAACATATAGCGATTAAATGTTAAAGCTTGTATCATACTCATGTTTCTTTTGTTTGAAACATGTAAATTCGAAGAGTGAATTATTATTCATAATATACTTAAATTGGTCAAAGTTTATTTATGGTAAAGAAGCAAATTTTCACGGAAAATCTGCATCTGTTTTTTAAAGTAAGAATTCATATAAATCCCTCCATGATCCTAATGAACAATTAGAAAACTGAAAGTTCAAATGTAACTGTAAGCGTTTAGCTTAGGCTTAGTTAGGTTTATGCTTCAAACTTAGCTTAAACTTTCTTTTATTTATGGGTAATATAACAAAAGAATATACAGCGTGATTGAAATTTAAGTCGTTAATATCCAGTTATTAAAAATTCGGCATATATTCTATATAAAATTTAATAAACATTTTATTGCTCGTTGTTGTACTTGATTAGTAACATATTTTTCCACAAATTTCAATACGCATTCCATACAAATCTTAAAATAAGTATACTGTCATATTGTTTATTCTCGTAGTGTTGAATTGTATTTATTGCAGAAAACAAAATCAGCAAGACTGATAAGTAAATGTTCTTTGCTTTTCATGATAACTTTTGCTTTCATAATTTTTTTTCTGACTTTTGCGTTTTTAGTGTTATTGAAGATCAAAATACAGAAACGGAATTTTGCAATAAATTCTATGATATTTTCATTTAAAATCTGAAGGTTCAAAGGTACAAGTATTTAATGTTACATGAGAATTACACCAATATTCAATCAAAAAACTACTAGTAAGCAATAATTTTTAAGCCTGCATTGGTAAAATATTATAATTCCTTCGAAAAGACTTATATGAAGTTTTCTGAAGTCGCTAGAATGTAAGCTAATTATTTTTAATTTGTTAATGAATATTTTCTTTGAATCATATTTTTAATACTATAAAAAGTTTTCATAATGACATAACTTATTTAATGCATTTCTATATAATTTTCTTTAAATAGGCATAGGAAATAAAATTAAATTTCAAATGCATTATAATTTTGGCTATTTTAATTTTTTTATATAATTTTTTTATTATAATTTTTTTTATAATTTGCATATTTTGGCTACCTGGTACATGCGGTCATATTTTTCAGCATTCTGTCAACTGGAAATTGTCCAAGGATGGAAGCCATTGGTTAGGTCACTTGGTGCTGCACAAAGATCTCCTCCCTGATGGCCGTACACGTCAAAATCTCGGAATGAAAGTTGTTGGGGGCCAAGAGTTGGATAGAACACGAACATTTGGTGCAATTGTCCAGAACATAAGGGAAGGCAGTTTGGCAGACAGAGTTGGACATATTCGACCTGGTAAATATGATTCAGATTTACTCAGAACAGTCAGAAATGTGTTCCTCTTTAATGCCTCGCTGAAACATAAATCGGAACAAACTAGTTTGATGTATGTCGAATTATGAAAAATATATTTATGTAACTAAAATGATTTAAAATATTTTTAACTATTTATTCATAATTGCTCATTTCTGCTATTCTTAATATAGTCGTAGATCAGGGGTTCTCAACCACGAAGAATTCTCCCTGAGGGGATTTCATACTTTCAGGTTGTGCATGCGGTCAACCTAACTCCACTTGCTTCATCGTTAAAAACTAATCTAAATCTAAATAAATATATGTGTATTTTTTAAGTTTAGGAAAGAGGGGGGAAAGATCTTCTAACAGTGGTGAAAAGGGTATCAGGTTCAGGTATAATGTTCCGCCTTACTTTCTTTGGGAACATGCACAGACCTGACTCGGAACAGGGAGCTTACTAAAGCTATGTTCAATAACTGTGGGAAGTAGACAAGATACACAGAAAGGGAATACGAAACCCTTTATTTTTCACTCTTTACAATAATTTCCGTACTTCGGAATACAAAGACCCACTACTTGTGGTCTAAACGTAAAAATATAAAATATTAACTAAACTCTAACTTAACTTTGGAATAATAACAAACGGAAGATTGGCCTTATATTAACAGGAAGCCGTATGTAGTACAGAGAACTGTTAACACTACAATACGTTTAAAATTATCACGAGGATTAAACCTCTGGCCTGGAAGGCAACCAGCAACTGAGTAAAACTTCTAAGGTAAGCGGCCTGCTTCGACTAACTCCTTCCTCTCTCTCGCTTGGCAAAAAGCCACAACTTAAGTACTTGGCGTTCGCCAGACAAATTTTGCATAAATAAGTTAACGCTTTTAATTCTGGCCGGAAGTAGAAAATAAGAAGTGATAGTAAAGATTTAAAATAAAATAAACGTTAGTAAAACTTAAGATCCTTACATACTTCCCGCCAGAGTTAATTAGTTTTGAAACTGAGGTCTAAAACGACCTTGTTGAAAACTTTTAGCTCTAGAATCTAACGCGAGGCCAATCTTTTACAAACATTTCTCACTAGAAACTAGAAATTAAAAAAAAAAAAAATTTGTTTTTACAATAGCAGCTCCAAGGACACACGCAATTTTTCATCTGTACTGCATCTAAACAGGAGCTTTTATTCAAATCTGGTTCCTTCCAGTAGTTTAATGAAATGTTACACAATGAAATGGCAAGTAACGCATATAATTATATTTCTCTTAACATTCTTATTTCATTCATGACTATTTTAATTATCTCTCCCCGTGCTCTCTGACATGTGTTGTAAAAGAACACCAAACACGAATGTGTTTATGTATACGTGTTCAACACTTCCTCCTACAATCAAAACACTAACGTGTTAAAATTCAACATACCAAGACCTCGTAACACACCCTAACTTCAACTCTAAACCCTGAGGTACTATTCTGAAAGTGGCTAACTCTGAAGTGTAGCGTCAGAGAGCCTAACTACATTCATTCAACCTTTAACACATATTCACCATGATTTGGTCTTTTTTTTACAGTCACACACGAAAAAAAAAATTTTTTAACATTACTTTCACTTTTACCATATCACGGTATTTCTTAACATTTAAAATAACAGTTCACATTGTATATAAGAACATATTAACATGCCGTTAATTTTACGCATTTGAAAACATACATTAGTAGTACATTGTTAACTTCTATTCTTTTCAAATCAAGTGCCAATTCTTCTACATTGAAATACTACATTTCAAAAAGTCTTTCAGACTAAAACTTCTTTCTTGCCAGAATGTTTTAAATAAAATTTATACAATAACTTTTACAATATTTAAGTCTTTACACATTCCTATTATACATCAACTTTAGTTTTACGCGCGAGTAATTGAAAAACATAATACCAAAATCGGTAACAACTCATTTCTCGCCTTTTTGGCGATAAAGGTAGACCTCGCATGACGTAAAACTTCTTGAAATCTGCCACTTGCAGTAAGAATGAAAGATTAACTTAAGTTTGCAAAGTAACATAAAATTTTACTTATCTTTGTTATATTCGGACATTCTTTTCTGAGCCCAGTCCTGGAAGGTAGCGCAGATTCTCGTTTGATTTATCCTCCTTCTTGTGCGGGCTCGCCCTTCAGTGCCTTCCTCTAGAAGCTTTCTTTTTTCTCCAGTTCGGTCACCCTTGAATACCTTCTTTTTCGCCTCTGCCTGTGGTCTTGGCCGTTTGATGGCAGCTGGTCTTGGCGGAACCGGGAGACTTCTTTCGCGTTCCTGCTTGGACCTCGTTGCTGGCCGTTCAAATTTTCCTTGTAACTTTTTTTCCTCCGCCGCTGGTGGCCCTTCCGCAGTTCGGCGACATTTGCTGCGGAGAGTCCTGTCGGATGAGTAGATCTTCCGTTTTAGAGCCGGGTTATAGTTGCCGTCATTTCTCCTGGCTCTCTTTGCATACGTCGTCCTTCTCCCTTCTTCACTCTGGGGGTGTTCGTGAGCCCTCTTTTCTGGACGGTTGAACGGCTTCTTTTTCTTGTTACCTTCAATTTTCCGCGGGGAAACTTTCTTTTCACTTGCTCCTGCCTCTTAATGGCTTGCCCTTGTACTTGTCGATGTTCCACCTCTGGAGCTTGTGCCCTGCCGTGTCTGCCGTGCCGGATCCTGCAAAAGATCTGTAAAATTTTGCATTTTATTACGATCATAGTAGGGTTTGATTTGATCAATGTTTGCGGAGCAGGTTTCACCATTCCTGGCTTTTTAACACTACTACAGCGTGAGAGTTATTTTTTCTATGACATATGGTCCTTCAAATCGTGGAAAAAATTTGGCAGTTTTATCTTCTGGTGCTGAAGAAAGTGAATGCTTAATTTTTAACACTTCATCCCCTACTTTATAAGTTACTCCCCGTCGTTTCAAAAGTCATAATACAGCTTTTGTTTTCTCTGTGCTACTTCAGTATTTCTTTTTGCTTCTTTAATTAGTTTTTCTATATCACCCATTTTAAATTCTGGGGCTCTTTGTTGCACATAAAATAATTTATCTAACGGCGTTTATAATCTTTCTGCCTAAAAACCTAAAAATAACTCAGAGCAGTTTTGCCCGTTGTATCATGTTTTGCGGTCCTAAGGGCGAAAGCAAATTCATTGACATAGTTATCCCAGCTTTTATGAAAATTTTTAACATAACTACGGATAATTTTCACTATATTTCTATTCACCCGTTCCGCTATATTTGATTGCGGCCGATACGGGACCATTTTTAAATGACGTATGCCCAGTTTTTGGCACATGTCTTCAAATACATTACTTACAAATTGAGGACCATTATCCGATATAACTTTTAGGGGCGCCCCGTATTTTAAAATATATTTATTTAAAATAGAATCAGTAACTAATTTCGCGGAGGCTCGTTTTAAGGGAACAATTTCGGTCCACTTACTAAAATGATCAACCATAACAAGGAGATAGCGACTTTTATTTAACTGACTTTTTGGGAAAGGGCCCAATAAATCGATGCCAATTATTTCATTTGGAAATTCGGATTTAATACTATTTAGAAACCCGGCCGGGCGGAAATTAATATAATTAACTGCTTGACATGTTGGGCAGGACTGGACATACGCCCTTGTTAACTTTTGCAGTTCAGGAAAATAGACTGCCTCGCGTACGCGTTGTATAGTTTTTCGAATACTAGCATGAGAAGCTAAAGGGCTGTCATGCAACTCCTGCAGGATATTTAATCTAAGACTAGCTGGGATAACAGGTCGCCCTATTTCTTATCGCCACAATATCTTGGTGGCTAAAATTTTCAGGATCCTTTAAAATACTCTATAAATGCTTCCAAACTCAGGATCCTTACCCAGTTCGGTTATTACAGTTTCTCGGGAATTTATTGTACATGCTGTGAGCATTGCCACCTTTACAGTATTACCTTCTTCATCTATTTTAATTCTGGATAGGGCATCTGCTACGATATTTTCCTTTCCGGGGGTATGCTTGATTACCAGATTATATTCTTGTAGCTTGAGTGCCCATCTTATTAACCTTGGGGATAAGTTTTTCCCTGAGTACAATCTAGTTACCGCCGCATGATCAGAGTACACTGTTATTGGCGCCTTTCCAAAATAGACTCGGAACTTTTGCACTACTAACAGAACTGCAAGTGCCTCTCTCTCGGTCGCGGAATAGTTTCTTTGTGTTTGATTTAAAGTTCGGCTAAAAAATGCCACGGGCTGCTGATTTTGCGAAAGTAGCGCTCCTACCGCATAATCCGAAGCATCCGCTGAAATTTCTAAATTCTCATCCTTTTCAGGAAATTTCAACACAGGGGCTTGCGTTAATGCTTGTTTTAATTTTTCGAAAGCACTATTGGCTTCGGCCGTCCACGAGAATCTTGCCTTTTTTCCTTTTAATTTTAACAATGGTTCAGCAATAGCTGCAAAATCTTTTATAAAGGACCTATAATATGAACAAAGTCCTAGAAAAGAAGAGAGCTTCTTCGCCGTGTTTGGAGTCGGATACTTTTGTACAGCGATTATTTTTGATTCGTCTGTCTCTATTCCTTTCTGAGATATTTTGTAACCTAAATATTTTAATTCAGGGGCTGCAAATTTGCACTTTTCGACATTAACTTTTAGACCGGCCTCATTTAATAAAGAAAACACCTGTCTTAAATCCTGTACATGTTGGTCGAGATTATCACTAGTAATAATGATATCCGTCTAAATAGATAAATGTGGACTTTCCATGAACAGGCCTTAACACAATGTCCATATATCGCTGAAATGTTGCCGGTGCCCCTGAAAGGCCAAATGGCATACGCAGAAATGCATAAGTGCCAGACGTGGTTATAAAAGCAGTCTTAGGCACGTCCTCAGGCCTAACCCCTATTTGAAAATAACCAGTCGTTAAGTCTAAAGTCGTCATATATTTGGTGGATGTTATGTTCCTTAGAATTTCTTCTTCAATAATAGGTAACG